TTGTTATTTGTGGTCTGAATATTATTATTGAGTCGTTCCCGATCATGCCCTATTGGTTGACTCCCGTTCTTCTCTGCATGTCACTTCCTTTCGCTTACTTCGATTCTTTTCTCTGTTTGTCCGTGCGGATCAATGAGCATACGAAATACTTGTATTCGTAATTCTTTCTCATACTTGGCTTACTTTACTCCGTCATTCTTTAACGCGAATTAGGTCGATTGGCGACATGTGTACCCTGATATTAATGGGCACGCGCTTCAACTGGAGGCATATAGAGGACCACTAAGTATTTCTTCTCATGTGGACATAGTTTCTGAATACTAAAGAATTCATAGGCTTGTTAGTAGTTTATTCCTTCCCTTCTCCTACGAAAGAAAGCTATATTTCAGCGGTAATCGAAGAGGAAATAAACAAGTTGTACGAATGGACTGTTTCGTGGAATTTACCACTTAATGTTGACAAAAGTGGATTTATTCACATTCGTCGCTGCCTTAACTTAAATCTGACTGTACACACACATACACTCAAACCTCTCAACACTGTTCGTGACTTGCGTTTAAGATATAGCAACTGTCTGAACTTTTCTGAGCACATATCTCAAGTATTCAAAGCTAGAAAGCTGATCGGATTGATAATGATAAACTTTAATAATATCGAATGGATATTGAAACCACACGCGCGCTCTTTTGAAGGTTGTAACTTTTTTTCACGTGGTATTATTTTATTTTCCTATTAGTTTTTCTCTTTAATTTAACACTTAATAGCGATAAATAATTCGTCACTGATAAGTTTCTATCAACTTGACACGTTATTTAGGAACTCGACGTCATAAATTAATCTTGCTAATTCTCACGCTATCTGTGCGCGCTAATTTTCAAAAAGGGCAGTGATTTTTGTACTTGTTGTGATTATACTTGCTTTTGGTACTTATTGCACTAAAAAGCATTCTTGGTCTACTTTAACTAAGAGTTCTTTGGTTAAAGTTTGAAATTGTTTGCTACATTTTGTCCTGGGTACCTGTTTTTAGTCCTTAACTAAGACTTGTGTTCACATTGTTATCGTTTTTTGTTTTTAAACCTTTTAAATCGAATTACAATGGTTGGTAAGACTCACAAATGTGGGCAACCAAATTGTTTGTTCTCCGTTGATGAGGGAATGCAGTGTGACGACTGTAAAAAGTGGTATCACAAAATGTGTACACGACTAAGTCCGACGGCTTATAAAAGATGCTCGAAGCCTAACTCGCATTGGCTTTGTGTGTTCTGCTGTACGGATAAAAAGGTACTAATACAGGAGGCTATGGGCCTATTGGCTTTGGCCTGCAAGAAAAACGATGGTGGAAGCACTGATAACAGGAGTACTGACGATGAAGAATGTGTCAGTGTAGTAAGTGCTGCTACTGGACCCATTAAACACCTGACTGCGGTTGACGGGAACGTGAAATCTCCGTTGACTTTAACGAGAAATGAAGTGTCGCCTGATATTGACATCGGCAGTCATACACCCCTAGTCGAAATAGAAGATCCGGATAAAACTGTCACCGTTCCACATAGTCCAGGTGTGGCTGTTCTGAGTGGTGACAAATGGACTCCGGTAAGAAGAAAAAAAATAAGAAGAAAAAGGCTGTAGGCAAAACGCAGCTGGTCAGCAAGACATTGGAAGGGACTTTATCAGAAGAAAAATCCTCACCGCGTGAAAAGACAGATCTGTCTGAGAGATCAGTCATTTTTCATAAGATAAGAGAATCTTCAGACACTGAACCAAAGGCAAGATTTGAACATGATCTAAATCATATTAAGACATCATTAAGTAAACTACTCCCAGATACAGTTTCAGGAGTTAGTATTTGTAAGCTTTATAGAATAGGAAAAAAGGTGGATTCCGAAAGTCCTCAGAAAAACCGCCTCCTGAAGGTTACATTCAACACGGTGGAAGAAAGGAACCTGGTTCTAAGTAATTCACGTAAACTGATTGGGTCCGGAATATATGTCCGTGAGGACCTCAGCCTAGCTGATCGTATTAAGAGAAGAGCTGCAGAAGCGGAAATAAGCGAGCGTCGCCAAAACGGTGAAAGAAACCTCGTTCTTAAGGGTTTTCAGATTGTAAAAGTTCGGAGCAAAACGATCCCCAAGCCTTTCTGGGTGGCAAGGGAAAGCTCTCCACAGACTTAAAAGTGTGCTACACAAATGCTCGCAGCCTACTAAATAAAATGGCGGAGCTGAAGTCAGTGGTGGATAAAGAAAAACCGGACGTTATCGCTGTCTCGGAAACTTGTTTAACGTCAGAAGTATTAGATAGTGAAATCCAATTGACCGGTTTCATAACCAGTAGGGCTGATAGATTAAACCGAAGGGGAGGCGGGGTTATTGTGTACACGAAAAGTACCCTAACCATAAGATTAGCTGAGACAGTAGCACATGTTTCAGGGACATGTGAACTGGTGAGATGTAAGTTGAAATGCCGAAGGCAAGATATTGAATTAGTTGTAGTTTATCGCAGTCCAGAATGTGTAGCAGATGATTTTCTCCTCAGTAAACTTAAGTCCTGGTGTAACAACGGTAAAGGCCTTGTAGTAGGCGACTTTAATGCACCATATATAAACTGGGTTAACTTAGAAGTAGAGTCATCTATATCGTCGTTCGACTCCAAACTGTTAGAAACCTCGGTTGGACTAGCATTAATCCAACACATTAGATATCCCACAAGATACGACTTAAGAAACTCTTCCTCTCTTTTAGATTTAGTCTTCACACACGGTGAGGACGTTGGTCAAACGGCTTTTCTCCCACCACTTGGGAGAAGTGACCATGCAGTCATCTTATTCAAATTCATGGCTGAAATTGTTTCTCAAACAATTGCGCCGGCCCGTCCTAACATATGGAAGGCAGATATGCAGGCAATTGACTCCGCAGCATCGGCTGAGAACTGGGAAATTGACTCAAAGGCATCAGTACAAGAGGCATGGACTCTATTCAGACAGTTATACAATCGGGTAACTCAACCATATATACCCTGGACTGTCCCAAAGAAAAAGAAGCACGTACATCCCTGGTTAGGGCGGGATATTCGACGCTTACTAAGACAAAAGAAGAAATGCTGGGATGTTGCCATCCGCCTTGGTACAGCAGGTACGATGGAACGCTACAGATCGATAAGAAACGTGTGTATAACTAAAATTCGGGAAGCGCAAAGAAAATACGAAATGCAGCTGGCAGAATCTGCACTCAAGCAGCCCAAGAGGATATTCTCGTACATAAACTACAGAACAAGGACTCATCACTGGATTCCCAACCTAATTAAAGTAGGAAGTAAATCTGAAATGATAGAGGAAGATCAGGAAAAAGCTGAGATTATGGCTGACTACTTTGAGACAGTTTTCACTCAGGAACCTCCTCTAGAGAAAGAACCAGACCCAATTACAGAGTCAACAAACCAGCTGCTCACCGTGGACTTCGACCAAAACGATGTGCTTAAGGCTCTTAGCACCCTAAACATGGAGAAGTCAACAGGACCAGATGAACTACACCCTAAAGTCTTGAGACATATTGCCCAATATATCGCAGCCCCACTGACTGTGATATTCAAAATGTCACTTGACCAAGGTGTGTTACCTATGGACTGGAAGGACGCAATCGTCACTCCCATACATAAAACTGGTCTACGACAAGTTCCATCAAATTACAGACCCGTAAGCCTCACCAGTGTTGTAATTAAAATACTGGAAGGGATAATCAAACGGACCATAACAGCATTTATGGAAACCAATAACTTGCTGAACATGGAACAACATGGTTTTAGAAAGGGTCTATCCTGTACAACGAACCTCCTTATAGCTAGGGAGCTCTGGATTAATGCGCCAGACAACGGAAACTCAGCGGATGTTGTCTACATAGACTTCAGTAAGGCTTTTGACAAGGTGCCAACTAATAGACTGCTATTGAAGTTGGCAAACCTTGGTATTGCCGGACCTCTTTTAAAATGGATTAAGGATTTCCTAGTAGGTCGTAGGCAAAAAGTAAGAATAAATTCCAAGTGCTCCATCTGGAGACCAGTACTTAGTGGAGTACCCCAAGGTTCCGTCCTAGGTCCTTTACTTTTTATAATGTACGTTAATGATCTTACAAGTATAGTAGTCTCCAATGTTATTATACGCTGACGATGTAAAAATTTGGCGAGTAATAACTGGTGACACAGACGCATTTACTCTTCAGGCGGACTTAAATAATATGATAAACTGGTCTAAAGAGTGGCTAATGCCTATCAACTCGGAAAAGTGTGTCTACATGCACTTGGGGGATTCAAAGGTTAATACGTACAACATAGGGGATGTGTCATTACCCATAGTCCGGTCTCATAAGGACCTAGGGGTGACAGTGAGCAATGATCTTAAGATGACGGCCCATTGCCGGGAGGTCGCAGTTAAGGGGTTTCGAACCCTCTGGGCTTTAAAAAGGACATTCACTAAGCTTGATACTACCATGTTCACCACATTATACACATCCTTAGTGAGAACTAAGTTAGAGAACTGTGTTCAGGCTGCAAGCCCCTGTTTAAAAGGTGACTCAGACATACTAGAAAAGGTACAGAGGGCAGCTACGCGTGCAATTCCGGAACTCCGGGGTTTATCATATGAAGAGCGGCTTGAAAAACTGAACCTCTTTACTCTGTCCTATCGCAGACTAAGGGGAGATCTAATATTGATGTACAGAATACTAAGAAATGATTTCGGACCTAACTTATTCTCTCTCTTCCTTCCCACTAGATCGGGACACCTCAGCGGACATAGCAGGCGAGTAGAAAAGCCAAGAACGAACAAAATACCCCTGGCATACAGGTTTTCACACCGAGTCATCAATACTTGGAACCTGCTGCCTGAAGCAGTGGTATCCGCACCTTCAATTGACTCTTTCAAGAGAAGACTGGACACTCACAGAAGCATACTAGAAAAGGAATAACATAGGCCGTAGGCCTTCTGTCCTTACTACACAAATCATCTCTATCACCAATTAACGTTAATATATTTACTCTTATCTAATACTGGGTCTGATCCTACCATAAAACTTTACACGTTCACTAAGTTAAATTACAACTATCGCCGTCCACCTAATTAAACTTTGTATTTACATTACTTCCGATAATGTCCAGGCCATCTAAAAAACATATAATCTCTCCTGATGCCTATAGCACCTGCAAAAGATCTAAATCAGTCACTAAAGCGAATAATGTGAAACCTTATAAACACACTGATCAGTCTGCATCCTACTCTGATCTTCCCTCAGCCACACTAAACGTGCACCGTCTACTTGGACAAGACATATCCCTACCTTGCATCTCGCTTGTCGATATAAATAAGAGCAGTCACATACCGTTAGAGTCGACATCATTTGTCAGTCCAAACAAAAACACCACATGTTGTGAGCAGTATTTAGACAGTGCTGTTGACCCCAAACACCCAGCAATCTCACAATCGGCCATCCTGAGTAGCGGCCCACGGAGTACATGTAAGCCTGCCTACAATAGCCAGTCCGGTGATGTAGATCTTGACTACTCACCCAGACATATACCCCATTCCCCAACTAAGTGTGCACAAAGTGAACATCCGCTAGACACCTGCAACAGGCCTGTATGTAACCATATCGACTTTAGAAACTTTGATATAAACTCCGATAATCTCACCACTGGTAGACCTAAAAGCAGCCAAACAGAACTTAGCCTCACCCAAACTATTCAAGACCTATTACCTTACAAATATTTAATCAGTGTTCCAGAAAATCCCGATCTGGAAATTATAAAAAACACTGAAAAAGTAATTGACCATATATCATCTGAAGTGTTGAAAAGACTTCAGTGTATGCAGAATGTTATTGTGTATAATATACCTGATAGTACGAACATAAAGATTGCTAAAAATACTCTGCTACAAGAATGTGGGTTGTCGCAATCTTGGTGTGTAACAAGAAGATTACGTAAGGCACACACTAAAGCCTCCTGTCCCATTCTATTTCAGTTTGGTAGCACCACTGAAGCTAATCACCTCCTCAATAGTCTGTCATTACTGAGGCGTATTCCAACATTTAAAAATATTAGGATCATTCATGACAGGACCGCTATCCAGCGTCGAATCTGCAATGGAACACAAACTGATCAACCCAGCTTACGTAGCCGTGGCAGCTACAGCTCTTGTCACTGCACAAATAATAAAATATCATACACTGCCCCCCCAAAAAACGGAGGCACGCCGGACACTGCTATTAGTCCTAAGGACAAGACCGCACATAAAGCAGCTACAACCACTCACCCTCAGCTACCCCAAAATGCCAAACCACTTATGCCTCAATAGCGTCCAAGTATTACCCTAGCGGCCCTTATAAAATGCCTAAAAATGATCCTCCCAGGGAACGCGCTAACAGCTACAGACCCGCAGACACCGCTGTGCGAAAAAATACCAAACTCTCCGTAAAAACCCACCAACACTCCAGCACCCCTAACCCAAAACATGCACCTTCTCATAGTAATAGAATGCCCTACAACAAACATAGTGAACTGGCAACACCCACTCATCCTAACGTGAAACGACACTCGACAAGAACCACACCCACACGTGATACCCATGAGTCATATGGTGTCAACCTTGTAAGCCCCATGAACCAACACAAAACTATACACAACAGAAACACCTCTCCTGGCAACAATAACAGGCATTCCTTCATCCCTTACCAGAAACATACAACCTCCCCAACTAACCACAATAGGACTAAAATTGCCCACCGCACACGAGGAAGCCATAACGCTGGCCTACTTGGGAACCCACCTACAGATTCTAGGTACTAAGTCAAGCCACCCAATACAACGGTTTGGTCCCCCCTAATTCGACATGCACACTATCTCATCCTTTTTTATCTCTCTCCCCCTCAACGTTACTGCTATGGGGTCTCCAAATGTTGAGGGCGACAATCCCACTATTCTGAAACCATCTATATACTCCGATTTAATGGGGAGTAGCACATCCTACTCAACTTCGATAACTGTCTCTAGTCTTGAAAACTCCTTGACTGAACCCCCTGATCATTCCCCGGACACATTACCTAATCATTCGACTCTACCTTCCACTCTTAGACATACTTCTTTCACCAAAACCACACCCGACTACCCTTCTTGCATTAACCCTACTGGTAATAAACTAAACACTCATCAATATGGAGTCAACGCTCCCAATTCTTCCTTTTCTCAGGGCAAAACAGACAAACCACTCGGTTTACATCATACCCTTCTACTAGACAAACAGTCACCGTACCTGACACTTATGTTAATCAACGCTCGATCTGTACAAAGTAAGATGACTTACCTACGCACCCTATTGCTTTTAAACAACCCCTCACTTGTTTTGATAACGGAAAGTTGGCTGTCCTCCGATACCACAGACACATTTCTACAAATAGACACTTATGAGCTCTTCCGCTGTGATCGAGTCACCAAGAAGGGTGGTGGTTGTCTCGTTTATGTATCAAAAAATTTGAGAGCGGAAACCTATAGCGACCACGTCCTCAGCAAACTTCCTGAATCGATATGGCTTACTGTGCACACTCATGAATGTAAAATACTAATCGGATGCATATATCGAGCTCCTAACACTCCTAGTTCAACTGACACTATTATAAGTGAGTCATTTGCTCAGGCTGCCTCGCTTGACTTCACATACAAAATTGTATGTGGTGATTTCAACCTTCCCACCATCAACTGGAAGACACATTCTGGCCCATTGTGCTTTGAAAGCATACTTAGGTCCTTAGACATACACGGCTGGCAACAACATGTACACCTGCCTACACGAAATCACAACATTCTTGACTTGATATTCTGTCATAGTGTCACACCAACATCAATGGTGGTTAGCGAAAAGTTTCACAACAGCGATCATAAAATAGTCCTCTGCACCCTTCCGATTCTTGCCATATGCAACAAATTAAAGACATTAAAAACGCGATTCCAATATAGAGACTATGCAAACGCTGACTGGGAAAACTTTCGATTTCTAATAAAGCACTCTGACTGGGGCAGTTTCTTTACCAGTAATAACCTCTTAGAAACATTAGAAATATTCAATATCACCACCAAATCTGCACTAGACACTACTATACCCTCTAAAATTGGTTTTAAAACAGTTACTCCCTATATAAACCAAAAGACTAGGTCTAAACTGAGAAAACTGAAAAGGATGTACTATATATCAAAAGACTTCAGTGCCCTGCACCAGATATACTCTGTACTTGACGGAGTACAAAGTCAAAACAACAAGCATAAACAGGTAGAGGAACGTACTGCGCTCGCTGCTGCATCTAAAGCCCAAGCCCTATGTCGTCTCCTCACGAAACACATAAGAAAGAACACAGACAACAACATTCACTCCTTACTGCACGATGGAGTAACGTATAATGACCAAACCGTCATATGTGAACTATTAAGTGAATGGTTTTCTCACAATGGGAATACATCTGATGCCCCAGATATCGACATAAAGTGCACCGGCAAAAACTATCTTAGTACCATAAACTTCGACATTAGGAATATACATACCGCCATTAAAACCCTTAAGCCAAATGCGAGTTCTGGTGCCGATGACATCCCTTCAATCGTTTATAAAATGTCAGGACCGGACATACAGACGCTATTACTCAAAATATACACATTATCTTTAGAGACAGGTACATATCCGGAAACCTGGAAGGTAACGTATGTTCTTCCCAAACACAAATCCGGACCGAGAAACCTGGTTGAAAACTACAGACCTATAAATATCACTCCAGTCATATCACGCATAATGGAAAAAGTGATACAAAATCAACTATCTGATCACCTACTCAAGGAAGATCTAATAGACCCGTCACAACACGGCTTCATTAGAACAAGGTCGTGCAGTACATGCCTGATAGACTTCTTTAACGAGGTTACTCGTATGCGTGACCAGAAGAAACTAGTTATTATACTATACTTCGATATTAAGAAAGCCTTTGATAAAGTACCTCATAATCTTCTAATCAACAGACTGAAGTCAGTTGGAATTATAAATCCCCTTTTGCAATGGATCAAGTCTTTTCTTACGAACAGATATCAAATAACCAAGATTAACTCTAATACATCTACACCTCGACCGATAACCAGTGGTGTTGTGCAGGGTAGTGTCTTGGGTCCATTGCTCTTTATAATCTACATCAACAATATATGCAGGTGTTTCAGCACAGGTAAGACCTACCTGTGTGCCGATGACTTAAAAGTCATCTATAAAACTGACATTTGCGATTTACGCAGTACTATGCAAACAATCTAACATGAACTCAACATGGTAGATGACTGGTGCAAACGCTGGAGGCTAGAGCTCAACATAGAGAAATGCGGCTGGTTATGTATAGGAGACACGTCTCTTAAAATGAAACTAACAATTAGCGATCACACACTCCCCAGACTGGCATCAGTAACTGACCTAGGGGTACATTATTCACACAGTCTTAATTTCTCTGAACACATCACAGCCAAAGCATCCAAAATGCGGAAATTGCTTGGCTTCATTCTCCGTAATTTCTATCAAAATGAATCTAAAATCCTTCTTTACAAAGTTTGTGTAAGACCTATCGTTGAATACTGCTCGTTCTTATTTTCCAACCTACGTCTATCTGATATACTAAAGGTGGAAGGAATACAACGAGACTTCACCCGCAAAGTACTTAAGACTGACTCGGTCATTGACTACAGTTCTCGATGCCAAATCTTAGGAATAGCACCCCTTTGGGAGAGAAGGCTTAGGTCTAATTTGATTCTCTACTTCAAACTACTCAAAAACCTTACTTATTCAACATGTCAGATAATTCTTGCCCGAGATTCACATGAATACGAACTTCGAAACAAAGTATCTACGGTCAAAGTTGAGAAATACAGATCAAAAACTCGGGAAAACTTCTTCCTCACCAAGTATGCAATAATATGGAACAGTCTTCCTTCCGAGACTCGCATGGCAGATGAACTACATACGTTTGTGAAACTGCTTGATCAAGCCCTCACTCGCACTGATCTTGCACGTACGAACACATCTGCACCCCACTCAGACATCATAGGCTCTCTCCATGTCTAAACCAAAATGGACTTCAAGTTCAGTTTGCCTTATTTTTCCTACTTTGCAGTTGTATTAATTACTTTTTCCACCCCATTTCTTTACTTGAAGTAGACAGGTAACTCACTGGACCTATCATTACTGTTAAACTAAACTCGGTTGATAAGGGACACTCACTACCACCCTAAAAAGTCAAGAGGACCCCACAATCGGCTGCCTACTACCAGTGGTCTTGCATCTATGGAACCTGTTACCAATCAACTGGTTAAGACAACAGAAAATAACATCAGCACCAAGTTACTGTGAGTTCCTTCCTGTTTATCCTATATTAACTTTTTACTCTTCTGTACACAATGTTGACTAGCAATTAATATTATATCTCCACTCGTTCCCTTATCCACAACTCATACTTCTATACTTTTTCCGCCTGCTTAAATAAACAACTATCCTACAATATACCCTTCTTAACGCTTATACTCTGTTTGGCAAACTATACTTTATACTATAGTCAACAGAGGCACTGCATCGATGCTTTACCCACAGTCCACAGCTTGTAACTGCCTGATAAGCTTGTAAAATGGTACTTATAGAAATAGTGCTTTCCAACAAGTTGTGAAACAGAGGATTGTGTGAGGTATGACATTTATCAAAAAATAAGCTTAAATGAGCCTAACATCACAAAAGGAGGGAGGGTGGAGTTACTGACCAGCAAGCATTGATGGTGAGGGCGATAACTTCAATCCACCCGTGTTTGTGGGGACAGAACATTTTGTATGTATCAGGCTCTTTATAATTGAGAATAAGACAGTCAATCTAAGATATAGATTGTCTTCCTACGCTCACCACTCAGACTCATGTTTCCAATAATATGCTGGATTAGCTATTCTACTAAGACAACCTATAACATGCTAACTCGGACTTTTACACTAGAATTGCGTGGCTGACATCGGATGGACAAAAAAGAAAAGAAAAAAGACAATAAAAGATATAGTCACTAGTATTCTTAACACTTCACCCTCTATATACACACCCTTCTAATAAACCGCTTCGCTTGTACCAACCTTGACTTCCCTTCCTTCATGTGAGCTTACTCCAACTTGTTAAACATCATAACTCGTTGTTCTTTATTAGTACATTCTCTAATATGGAGCCTCTGACTTCACTTCACTCTAACAAGACAAAATATGAATTTATTCTAATTTATTATACCTCTGTCCGTTCTACTACACAATGTTAAGCAACCTTTGGCGTTCATATCCAAGTGCCTTGCTGCTCCTCTGTCTCTTTTTTTTCTCTCCTTCAGAATCTTGCTCTGAGAGCACAGCTATGAAACTTCTGACGTTTGGAGCAAACTTGACGTACGCGTCATCTCAAGGTCATAGTTTACAGCAAGCGCTCTACGATTTCACTTTATAACAACTATAAACTTAATAAGTTGGGAAGCATTTTGCGAACCAACAAATGTTGTAATTTATAGATCATGCCTGTAAAAACGGTGTGTACCTGCACATGCAGAAATATATTATTATTATGAGTATAACCATAACGTCAGGGTAGCAATTGTTAGTCGCGAAATGTGTAAGTTATAATTTCTATACTACAAAGTATAATGTGGGTCTTAAATTACTGACGGCCCATTGAAGTTAGCAAATGATCACTTTTTATCATGCTCTGTTCTACGAACAGAACCAATAAACATTGAATATCTTATTAAAAATGATGTTTAAAACCAATATACCCTCGTCATTCATGCCTAATGTTCCCGTGCTATAAATTTAAAATAAAACGATGGCATGACATTTTGAGCTAACAAAACTTTGTTTTGAATGGCTTTAGTGTTTATTTTTCAAAAACGTTGGTTGGGGTATTGGTTGGTTAATATGTATTTTCGGAATACAGCTAAATACAGTAGATTAGAGTTTTGTTTAAAGAAGAGTAAAAAATTATGAACTAACAGCAGGGAATAACATGTTTATTGGAAAACAATCGGTTAAACAACTTTGTAGTGCGTAATAATAGTGCCGTTTAAATGAAGCTACCTGGTTTGTTGAAGTGAATTGTTTGCTTTGTAATATATCACTGATGCCACAGTCATAAGCGATACTTCCCCAAGCCAAATGGAAGTGAACCAAACAATTCATACCAACAACTTCTACTCTTCCACTTCTCAATATTTAATTAGTTCAAATTTGTAAGCAGTTAAATTCTCAGAAGATATCCGAGCAACACCTAAGGATTTTCTAGATCATACTTGGGGTTTATTTCATGGGCCTTTATTTTCAGTAGGTGGTACAGTTTTAGGCTGTTATAAGTTTTTCTTGCTTACAGACCAGCTAGTTTGTGCATTCTTCTTATTTAATCAATAACCCTAACTGTTTTGTTGATGTGATTTTTTGTCTGTTAATTTTTTTCCCTATTCTTTCTGTGTCATTGTTATTTGTGGTCTGAATATTATTATTGAGTCGTTCCCGATCATGCCCTATTGGTTGACTCCCGTTCTTCTCTGCATGTCACTTCCTTTCGCTTACTTCGATTCTTTTCTCTGTTTGTCCGTGCGGATCAATGAGCATACGAAATACTTGTATTCGTAATTCTTTCTCATACTTGGCTTACTTTACTCCGTCATTCTTTAACGCGAATTAGGTCGATTGGCGACATGTGTACCCTGATATTAATGGGCACGCGCTTCAACTGGAGGCATATAGAGGACCACTAAGTATTTCTTCTCATGTGGACATAGTTTCTGAATACTAAAGAATTCATAGGCTTGTTAGTAGTTTATTCCTTCCCTTCTCCTACGAAAGAAAGCTATATTTCAGCGGTAATCGAAGAGGAAATAAACAAGTTGTACGAATGGACTGTTTCGTGGAATTTACCACTTAATGTTGACAAAAGTGGATTTATTCACATTCGTCGCTGCCTTAACTTAAATCTGACTGTACACACACATACACTCAAACCTCTCAACACTGTTCGTGACTTGCGTTTAAGATATAGCAACTGTCTGAACTTTTCTGAGCACATTATATCTCAAGTATTCAAAGCTAGAAAGCTGATCGGATTGATAATGATAAACTTTAATAATATCGAATGGATATTGTTATTATACAGAAAATGTATCTTACCCATTCTTGAATATGGTATTTTAGTTTACAGTAATTGCAGACATAATGACCTGATTAAAATTGAAGGTGTTCAAAGAAAGTTTACCAAAGCTGTTCTGGCGTATTCTGATAACAAAGACTATCACCAAAGATGTCAAAAACCCAACTTAGAACCTCTTTGGATCAGACGTATCAAATTAAATCTTGTCTTTATCTACCGGCTTATTAACGGTATTTCCTACTCTTCGGTATCCACCCCTTCATACCTTATGATATTATCCCACAATCTACGCAATAAGGAGAACATTCTAGCGATTCCAAGAGCCCACACAAACTTACGTCAGAATTTTTTCCTTATTCGCTACTCAACGATGTGGAACAGACTGCCAGTGAACCCCCGTTGCAGTGAAACTACAACCCGGTACAGAAGTCTGCTTGAAGATTTTCTTTCCGAAAGTGGATTATGTCACCTATTGAATATCAATGTATTCAATAATGATTTATACAAGCAAGGTCCGTTATCCATTTAATTGCCTGAAAAGCAAAATAAAACCTTTAAATCTTTTCACGTCTATTTTATTTTATTTCTATTTATCTTAATATATGAAATCTGCTTATGTTCGTATCTATAATTATTACTGTTATTAATATAATTATTGTTCCCCCGACACATTAGATATTCCTTTTATATCTTCTTATCTTAATTCCTGACTGTCCTTCGAAATTAATTGTGACTTTCACAGCATCATTCCTAATTATTATTGCACAAATATTTATACTAATATCCGGTTTCACTCCGTATACTATTACATAAATCTAAATGTATTCATCCGAGTGCATTAAAGGATTTTTATCTTATTTTTCTAAATTGTTGGTTTCCTTCTGAGGTTGATATTCATTACGCAATTATTATTCTTATCATGGATGAAACTTTTCACTAAGTGTTCACCTCTTTTCTTTCTTCTTTCCCTCTAAATAAATATTCTTAAGATTACAAAGTTTGTAATTAAGACAATAACTTGTGTTACATTTAAATTAACTTCTCAGACCCGTTTTATCTTCACTATGCATATATGACTCATATATATTGATATTTCATAATCCTTTTCACTCAATTGAGACTTTCATCGCATCACTCCAAACTATGACTGCACAAACATTTATTCTAGCGTCATATCTTACTGCAATAATAAGTTGTTTTTCCTTAATTGTTTTTTGTTACTAATTTGACGATATATGCATAGTCGTTTGTTCTTGTTTTATGTTCATAAACATGCCAATTAAATCGTTTGCGTATTTTACGTCTCCTTTATTTCTATTCCCTAATTTTCTCCATTTCCTTCTTTAAACTCAATTCAATATTCTTCTCAATTACACAGAACCGATTTATTATTATCAATATTCTACTATTATTACTCTAAATGTTTTTTAATGGCAAGTATAATGCTAACATTATTGAAAATTGTGTATTATTGCATTTTTTGAAGAAACCCGAGATGGTTTCTTCACAACACTTATGTACCCATACGATGTTTGTGAATAATAATAATAATATCTCCTTTGTTACCTCATTCAACTCCGCCCAATCATTGATGTTTATAGTAGTTTTTACATTTAAATCACTGAATGACTAGCAAGATGATTGCTATCTCTTAAATTTAGCAGACATTTTTAAAAATTATTAATAATAGTAGTTTATTCTCAAAATAACAGTCTGTTATATGAGGCAGAAGCCGAACGAAAAAGTCATGTCTGTTGGAATCGACAAGAAATACTAATGAAAAGATAAGGGTTTTTAAAGAATATTTCTGCAAACTGTTTTCCAAGAACGATGGTGAGAGACCAACAACCAGTTACAATGCTGGCTTCTTGCTGATGGATCCTCTTTTATTGAGAAGAAAGTTATCTTGTAAAATGGTTGTTTATTTCGGTATTAGTACAGTTAACTTCACTACCATAATAGACCTAATCCAAAGATCGTGGATTTGTCATTATGTAACTACTCAGTCTATAAGATCGTACGTGGACGTCAAATTACTGTCTGTACTTACTCGTCCTATGGTGTTAATCAGCTTTCTTGAAGAACACATTTTAGACCAAATGACCACACCTGAAAGTCTGATCTATGCAGTACCGATAAATTTTTCTTTAGCTCACCATTAATGACCTTCTCTTGAGTTAAATGCTGAATGTAAATCTTCTTGGTAATTATATGTTCGGCTTCAAAGATCGTGTGGTTGGGAACCAACATCACTAAATTTCAAGATTACTTCAAGACCAGATAGGTTCAGTAGCACTGGTAAAATTAATCCTAGGATAATGGGAGTCCTGATACATGTAACTGCCGAGTGTTCGACAATACTCTTTGACATCACTCTGAGGCGGTCTGAACCGCTGAGAGACCGGAACAGTGCAAGTATCAATCCGGTTTATTAAGCGGGGAGTAGAGACTTAGTTAGTAATCATCGGCCCATTAGTCAAACCAGTGTAATGGTCAGACCAATGGAGAAGGTTGTTTGGGTAACCATTCTAAATTATTTAGAATAAATAATCTTTTAGACAGAAAACAGCATGGTTGTATGATAAGCCTTTTATACTTGACAAATTTCGTTACAAGGGAAGATTGGACTGCTGCAAAAGATAGTAATATCCCGGTAGATTTAAGTTTTACAGATATAAGTAAAGCTTTCAACAAATTTTCTAGCCCAGGTCTTGAATTATTGCTAGAAAGTTTTGAAATCCGTTTCGTAATTAGAAACTGTCCAAATGACATTCTCAGTGATAGGAGAAAACGGGCACAGGTAAATGGAACTTCTTTATGATGGATGTTCCAAAACGTGAAGTCCTTCAATTTAAGATCCTTAGTTCTCTTCTTTTTTACTTTGTGTAAATGATTTACTAGCTGACGCCAAGTCATCTGTCCTACGTCATGCCGATATAGAGATTTGGAGACCCACACACTGTACATC